TAATTTCTGAACACAAAAAAAAAAAGAGTGAATTACTTTCAGGTTGTATAATTTATAATGGATTTTTTTTTTTCACCTCAAAAATGATAATACTAAAAACTTGCTTTATTTGATGGCTCATTTTCATTTTCATTTCTTTTTTTTTTTTTTTTTTTTTTTACCTTGAAATTATTTAAGAAGAGTTTTTGCTTGAGTTTTGGTCATTTCATTGAAATTTGCAAGAAAAATTTCAATAAAAAGGGAAAGTTAAAATTCATTTTGCTTTTCTTCTTTTCAATTCAATTCTAATTATTGTTCAAAAATGTTTTATAATTTAAATATAAATTTTATCGTTTTTTTTTCATCACCTTTTCTATTGTATAGTTAACGGAATCTATCATCAAAGTTTCAAGGTTATTTGTCTACTTAATTTATTCTAATTTAAATTTCATTTTCTTTTTTCCTGTTTTTTTTTTTTTTTTTGTTGTCCAAGAAATGCGGAAATGTTATGAGATTTTACATTTAGCAGAAGCATTTCAGTTAGGAAATATTATTGTACTGTTTTCTTCTTTCAAATTTCAAATTTTATTTTATGCAAATATTTGTTAATTCATGTTGATAATTCACTGAATTTTATTTTAATCTTAACTTAAGTTTAATTTTCAGCTAATGAATAACACGCAGTATATACTTTTATTGTTTCTACTTTCACAGGTATGTGAAGTTGGCATTTGCCTTTATTTAATAGGTAATTATACTAAGAGTAAAACATCTGCAATCTTAATATGAAGAAGTTTTAAAGCTCAATTTTTGCATTTAAATTCAAAAATTATATTGCTCATACATTTTGCTGAAATTATTCAGAAATTTTTACAAATTACTACCAAACAAAAAAAAAAAAAACAAAAAAACAAATATTTTATAGGAAATTTTGTTTATTTGGGATTATTGCTCAACGATAAGTTAAGATTGACTTAAGTTTAATTTAATAACCTAAATTTTCCTTTACCAAAGGAGGATGTTGACCTTTATTCAAAATAATAAACAGTTTAATATTTGCTAAAAAATGAAGTGAAAAAAAGTTAAATTATAAAATTTCATTGAATGGCCAAAAACCTGTCTTCTGAATAGTTTTTCTCTTTTTTTTCTTAAAGTTAGAACCGGTTTAATTCGAAATGGGAATGATTCTCTACTCGTTTTGTTTTTTTTTTTGTTCTTTTTTTTTAAAAAAAATATTTAATGTTAAAGGAGAATGAGTGCTAATAAACCGAAGGATTAAATCAATAAAATTAAACTATCTTATTATTTTCGGGTGGTCTATTGCGCCACATGCATATATAAATATCTTCAAATACCTGTTTCAATCACAAAATCTTTGACAAAAACTTCTATTCAACCAGTTTTTTTTATTTTACAAAAAAAAAAAAAAATGTCGCCAAAAAGTTTTATCTAAAAGATTTCATCTTGACCTATTAACCTATACCTTTTGTCCTATTTATTCCATTTGCCAAAACAATCGAATTTTCTTTTTCCAGATGATTTGAGATGAACAGAGAATACATATTTTGCTGAAATTATCTTCTCGTTCTTCCTTCCAAATTAAAAAAAAAAAAAAAACAAACTTTAATATAATATTTGAAAATACTAAAAAAGAGCTCTAGAAAATGTCAAATGATAATACTATGTTTACGAAAATGAAATGTTTGTTCAATTAAAGAAGTAAAAAAATAAACAAATTGCCAACAATGAAAATGTGAAAAATCGAAAAAAAAAATATTAAAAACAACAAAAAGATTGAAAAAATAGAAAAAAAAAATTTAATTTTTTAATTATTGCAATAAATTTATATGCTAAATTCATTATTAAACTTTCTTTTTTTTTTCAAAATTTCAACAGTTCTTCTATCTAATTTTTAATTTAATCTATTTTGTCATCAAATGCTACAATTTTCATTCGTAATTGTTTATATTTTTTATGAATAATTGATGAAACTAATCAGAAATTCAATTAAAATTTTGAACACCTAGAAATTATGCATGCAATGAATGGACTCATATATTTTTTAAAATTTTATATTTTATATTTTTTCAACATTTTAGTTCGCCTTCTTTTTTTGATACTTTTTTAATATTTTGCATTTTTTCTTTTTAATAATTTCGGTTTTTTTTCCATGTTTTATTGTCATTTCAATTTAATTCTATTTTTTTTTACTTTTTACTTATGGAAAATTATTATAATTTGAAAATATAAAAAATGATGACAACATTTTTGAAATAATTCAATTGAATTGTCATAAAATTAGTAAAAAATAGCGAAGTTAAAAATGCTGTAATTGCAAATATTTATTTAATTTTTTTTTTTAGTTACGGAAAATTAATTTTGTTCATTACAGTCACGCATATAACACTTAAATGCCACGTACGTCTTATTTCAGTGGCAAATTTCGATTAGCAATGCGTATAATATTAATAAAAAGATTTATGATTTAAATTTATAATTTAAAAAAATACGTAAATATTAATGCATAAAAGTATGCAATGCATAATATTACAAATTTCATTTATAAATGATAAAGTTTGATATATAAAATTTTATTTTATAACTGTTTTATTTGCATATTTTACAACAATTTAAGATTATCTCTTAGTAAGTCTGAAATTAAAAAGATTTGCTTTTTAATTCATACCGTTATAATAGTTACAATCGGTTAATTAATTGTTTATGCATAATTTTTATTCATACAACTAGTTGAATTTAAGGAAAAAATTATTTGACCATATAATTTTGAATTTAATAGGCGTAAAATTTTGATTTGATAATTTAAAGAGTAAATTAAAATTTAAAAAAAGTGGTAAAGAAGTATTATTTATCCTTGGCATTGAAGCATTAAGTAAAAGAAAATTTATATGAAATACATTGTCACATTATCAGTTAATCGAAAAAGAAAAATGGAACAATTGAATTCAATAGTTGATAAGGAATTATCAAATAAAAAGAACTGATAAACAATAATAAATGCTAATGCGTTCATTAGTAACTGATTAATTCCTTCACTTTATAAACTTATATTAAGTATTTAATTACCAATATTATCATTATTCAATTACAAATACTAATTGATTTGCAATGGCAGAAAATTCCTTTCTGATGGATTATTAATACCCAAAGTAAAAAAAAATTTATAAATTATATTTAAAATTAAAAAAAAAAAAAAACAATAATAAAATGGTATCACTGTACTTTTACAGAACAATTTATTTAACTTATAAATAATATCGAAATGAAAAAAAAAAGCAAAAAAAGTTTATTTTCCTATTTTTTTCATTTGTCAACTTTGCCTGTCATTGTCATTGCCATAAGTTACAAACATTAACAAAAAGAGTAATTCTTGCGCATTTAACATTTTTTCATTTTTCATTTTTTTTTTTTTGAGAATTTTTTTGCCAAAAATATAGCAAATCTTTTGATAAATATGAATAAAACGAAAAAAGCAACGAAGCAAAAAATTGAAAATATATATATTTGCATAAAAATGTTGAAGTAATAATTAATAATTTTTAATTTGCTCCTTCAATGCTATTCAAACAGCTAACTAAAATATAGCATTTAAGACTTTTCTTTTATTTAATTTGAATTTAAATTTCAATTAAAATTTTGAATTTCAGAATGAAAAGATAATTTCGGAAAAAATTTCAGGTTTTACAGAAAATTATCGGTGTTCCAATCGATAATTCAGTCTCAGGTATTTCTGAAAAAAATTATTAACTTGAAAATATGAATGCAATAAAAATTTAAGATTTTTTCAAATTTCAAATATAAATCTAATTAATTTGCATTCATCAAAAAAAAAAAAGAAAGAAAAAAGAAAATTAAAAAAGTGAAAATTATGCAGAAAATCCAAGCATTGAATGCGATTCGGATAGTATATCAATCATTTTCTCAACGTTGAAACCATTTAGTGGTCGAACATTTGTTAAAGGTTATATTCAAGACAGAAATTGCATTCAGGTAATTTATTTTAAATTATTTTTTTTAAGAAATTTTAAAAATAATAAGAAATTTCTATGTTACTATCATTTCGAATTAAAAAATTTTTTTTTAAACTTTTAACTTTTATTAGTTTAGTCAATGTTTTTTTTTTTTTTTACATTCTGAAAAATAAAAATTTAAATTTAAAGTAACACTTTAAATTTTTATTTAAGAGTAAAAAATTTTAACTGCAATATTTATATGAAAAGGAAAATAATTTTTCTTTGTTATTTAAATTATTTTAAGATTGGAAATCATCATGAACAGCATAAATTTACGATAAAATTTAATCAGTGCGGTTTACGTCGTTCTCGAGAGGTTTAATTTCAACAATTTATTGTAAAAAGAATAGAAGTAGAAAAGTTTGACAATACTATTACTTATTATAATTCATTTCAGTATAATGGCATTCGGATTACAGCAACGGTTATCGTATCATTTCATCCGGTATTTTTCATTTAAAAATATTTAAAATATATTTATATTCGTCATATTGTGTTTTTTCTTAGGTTACTTTGATCAATTCTGCATAATAATTAGCAAAATTTACCTTTAACTACCTGTTTTAATTAATTTTTTTTGTGTTTATAATTATTTGTTAAAATATTCAACAAAAAAAAGAAAAAAAGAATAAATTTAGATTTTTCTGACCAAAATAGATCGAGCATATCGACTCAATTGCTTTTACTTGGAATCATCAAAGACAATTACTCAACAATTAGAAATTAGGTATTGAAGCAGTTTTTTTTTATGATGAACAAATTTGATAATTAGTTAATTAAATCATAATTATGATTTGAACAAAGTTTAATTTAGATTAATTTAGAAGCGTAAATCTGATAATCAATTAATTAAATCGTAATTATAATTTGAATAAAGTTTAATTTTGATCAATTTAGAAGTATAAATCTGAGACTTTTTAATAATTTTACTAATCGGACAAAATATGTAAATTTCATGAAATGTTGCAAAAAAAAGTTTTCATTTACAGCATGATGGCAACCGAAGAGTTACAACGTCAAACGCAAATGCCAATTTGCAGGTATAAGCAGAAATTTTCAAAGAAACAAAAATTTACATTTATATAATTAATTTAGAATTTTATTTATTAGAAATTAATTGAAATTTAAACAACTCAAAAAAAAAAAAATATTCATAAACTTGCTTACTAAGTTTGATTTATATGTAAACATTTTTGAATACTATTTAAAAAATTAAATATGAATGATTTTAATTTAAAAAAAAAAAAAAAAATATTTTCAGATATGAAATTCTCGGTGGAAGTGCAACAGGTATGCAAATACGATATGCAAAAGTTGGTGACAGTGTGTATCACAGGTGGACATGTTTATCCGAGACTAAAGGTCTGTACTGTATGAGAGTTCATACATGCACTGTAAGTGATGGACAAGGTGGTGAAGCAGTAGCAGTTATTGATAAAAAAGGGTTAGCATATATTTTATAAATTTTAAAATTTTAAGAAAGATTAAATAAATTAAAAATTAATTTAAAAGATAAAAGAAAAACGAAAAACAAAAATTTCTTTGCTAATTACAATTAATTTTGACATTTCTTTCTGATAAAAATGAAAAAAAAAAATTTTTTTTTTCTCTTTTATTTTTTTGGTTAAAAAGAGAAATTTAATATTTGTTGTGAATAAAACTGAAATGGTGAACACACACACGCATGCACACATGTGCATGCATGCATGCATGCATACACAGTAAATAGAAAGACAAGTATATCTATTAGATCAAAAATTAACCCTTTGTCATCCTTGATTTGACACATTGAAAATTACAGCAAACAATTATTTAAATTTCTCTCATTACCGCCCCTTTTTTTCCTTTTGCCTTTTACCGCCTCTTCCTTAGATACATGAAAATATCATTGAATGAATGATTGATTACAGTTATACTAATTTTTAGGATAATTTATCTATTATTACTGATAATTTAAGTGATTCTATGATTGATAGTTATAAGATTACAGAATAAAAAAATCTGAATTTTGAATAAAATGAAAATAAAATAATATATTTATAGTTAATTCAGGAAAATGAAAGAAATAAACTATTGAGAATTAATTTAATATTAAGAAGTAAAAGTAAAAATTATATTTAAATAATATTTATGCAAAAAGATAATCATATTTAGCACTTAAATTACATTTAAATAATTTTACAGGTGTTCAGTAGATAAATACTTATTGCTGGATTTGGAATATATAGATGATCTAACAGCTGGACAAGAATCATATGTTTTCAAATTTGCCGATCGTCCAGCACTTTATTTCAATTGTCAACTAGAGTTGACCACTAAAGATCATCATTTGGGATGTGCAAATGAGGTTTGATATTAACTAATCTTTAGCAAAAAAAGTAATTTAACTTTTAATTTTCTTACTTTAATTGTTTTTTATTTTATTTATTTAACTTTTTAAAAAAATTTTTTTTTTATTAATTGTAACACTGTTTACTGATATATGAGGAAGTTTTACGCATACTAATATTTTCTAGCGACCAACTTGTAAAGGTCAAATTCGAGTGGAAGCATCAGAACAAAGTTATGAGCAATCTATTGCTGCTACGGAAGAAGAGTGAGCTATATAATATTATTGCATAAAAATGATTCTTAAAATATTCAAAAGTTATGATAATCTTTTTTTGAAATTTATTTCAGAACACAAGCACCTATCTACCAAAACAACAATAAGGAACAAAGTTATCCAAGTAATAATTATAATTAATTCAATTTAGAAAAAACAAAAAGAGTTTGAAAAAAATAATCAATGAAGTTAAATTTGAAATTTTTATCATTTTCAAATATTCAGATCCACTTGATATTGACTACAAAAGTAATGAATCACCGTATCAAAGTAATGAAGTTGTCTATGCGCCACCACCTGGTCCACCAGCTCCTCCAACTCGATCATCTGATTCATCGCATTTTCGATTTTCGCCAAAATCAGTCTACTCTATTGATAGTAATTATGATGTAAGATTGAATAATTTATTTTGAGTTTGTAATCTTAGTTTCATTCATCATTTAATTTAATTTCATCTAAATTAATTCAGTAATTCAATTTTGCTAAAATCAACTTTGATTTGATTCAAATTATCGTCTAATTTTACAATAATTGAGAATTTGTTTTTGATTCTGTAATATTTTAAGGATATTTCTACGCCATCAAATGCAGAAGAATACGGTCATTTACCGCCACGAGAAACAACAGCGATTTATGAGGAAGGAATTGCTTATAAGCGATTAATCAGAAGGAAACGAAATTCAAGTATGCAAATTTTGAACGAACTCTAATTAAAATTGAATTGGAGTTCCTAGTCTATTTGTTATATTGATTGATATAAGAATTAAAATAATATCAAAAGACAAAATAGCAACGATATCTGATAAAATTAACAATTTGACATTTTTCATTTTATCAATTTCTGTTGATATTTCAGAAGTATTTAGAAATTTTTAGAAAATTTTTGAAAATTAGAAAAAAAACATTTAGAAAAATTTTTATATTTATTAATATTTATTAAGTAATTAGTTTTTTTTTTTTTTTAAATAAAATTTTATTTAATGCATCTTTTAAATAAGCGAAAATTGTTTAATTTATGAAAAATTATAGCCAATCAATATTTCTCATCTAATGCTACGACTATATTACGGCCAAAGTTACGTATTGCAAATGTTGACCTTCCTGAACAGTGCATAACTGTATTTGACCTCGATGATGAAAGTAAATCATACATTTTAAAATTACTCTTCCTGTTTTTGCTCTACAATGAACTATTTTCGTTCATGAATAACAGGATGTTTGATTAATTCAATAAAATTTCAATTCTAATTTCTTTTTCTCTCATTTACTGAATGAAATATTTTTAGATAACGGAGAAATACAGTCAGCAAATTTAAATCGATTACTCAATCCAATTACAACTACCAGGACATGTTTGTCAACAGGTATACAGTTAACTTTCCTTTCTCCAACGAAATTTAGATAGAAATTTGATTTGAATGAAATTATCATAAAAATTGTGAGAGCCATTTTGAAAAAAAAAAAAAAAAAATGAAAGGCAAAACTGCTAGACTCATTTTTGAAATAAATTAAGAAATTAAGTATGCCAACTGCTCAGATATATCATTTATATCATAATATTTCAATTGATAATATTATGATAATATTAACAAACAAAGGATTAAAAGTAAACTTTTTATTTTTCTACTTTTTAAATCTCACATAGATTATTAAATTTCAGCTCGATTGACAATGTTAATAGTTATCACTGTGATAACATTTTCAATCTCTGTCTTAGCATTGATATTTGTTTTACGAAAGCAACGAATATTTTTGCATAATAATTTCATCAAATGATTAATTTGTTATTAGCAAAATTTAATGTCATCACCAATTCTTTCATTTCTCTTTGTTATTTATCCATTTCTTACTTTCTAATTTTCTGTCAAATTTATATATTTTGTTTAAAGTCTAGAATATTTCTAAGAAATGTGTATTTTATGCTTAAAATAGAAATGTTAATTAACAATTTGTTATGCAGAAAATTTGTCAAAAAGTGTCTGTGCTTTTTCAAGTGCAATAATTGGCGCAATTTTTCTTCTTTTTCTTTTTCTTTTTTGTTTATTTTTTATTTTATATGAATAAAAAGTGAGTGAAATAAAAATGAATGAAATTTTTACAGCAGAATTTTGAAGACATTTAAGCATTCTTAAAATTTATTTAAGCTTCAATTATCTCATCACTAAAAGTGCAATTGAAAAACGTTTTTTCTTTTTTTTTTGGTTTAATAGTAGTATAATGAATAGTTTTATCAAACTTTTTTAATTTTATGTATTAGCTGACAGAAATAAAGCGCAGCTGACAATTGCGCTCGATTTTATTGAGCATTTTACATCAGATTTATGATGTATAAATGTATATGAAAGCATATATGTGTTTAACAGGAAATCAAAAAGCTTTCTTTATTTAATAAAATATCGAAAGCCTAAAAAATTGTTCATTAAGTCTGGAAGTGATCTGAAAATTTTAAATGCTTTTGAATAATTTGAAATAAAAATAAATTTGCTGTCGCATACATTGTGACATATACAATTTTAAATATAACTTCTTAAAACTAAGAAAATGCAATTTCTTGAAAATTTTCTGAAATACTTCAATTGCCTTCTCAAATTCATTTTTTAAAACATTTAATAACAAGAAGACTATATTTTCACCAACAATGAATCATACAAAGTTATCCTTAAAATTCTATAGCTTAAATCATTCATCGTTTAATCATAAAACTTTTTTGTGTGATTAAAAACATTGAAATTCACTAAAGAGATGGAGTAGAGTAGTCAAATGATAATAGTGGTTCTTGGTAATCAGTTTTATCAAACGAAGAATTATTATCATCAGATATCGATTCCTTCTGTAAATACTGTTCGGTTTCCGGAATGGTCATCTGTGAAACGCTTCCGCTAATCATTGATGCAGATTTCTTGATCTTAAAATAACGGAAAATTATCATTGATCATTGATTTTTGTGGATAAAATTCAAGTCTTTGAGTTGAACTGCTAGGCTTATTTTGTTAAAATAAAAGATGACTTGATGGCCAAGATATTGTGTATCAATATCGCAACAGCTTAAGTCAGATTGTTGTTGGACAAGGTAAACATAAAGTGGTCGATAAAGAACAGTGTGATCATCAATTGATTGCTCTAAAAATGTTTATAAATTAATTTAATTGTTAAAACATAATTAAAAGTTAAAAATAAAATTTAGACTAGATAATTGTTTAACTTTTTAATAAATTGCAAAATGACGTACTGATAAAATAAATTTAAAAAGTTTTTAAAATAAATACTAATCAAACCTAAATTTTCTCCATCATGTATGCGGCCAATTTGAAATTCAGGTGAAATATAACGACCACCTTCTGCATGTGGACAACAGGTGTCTAAATATTTGAAATTGTTTCTTTTTTTTTTTTTTTTTTTTTAAACAAAATAGTAACTTTTTCTATATTACTAATTACTTTACAAATTTCTACCATTAATTTGTAGAAAATAACTAACACTTAAAATTATAATCTAATTATTTTGATCAAACAATTCTGTACTTAATAAGTAAACTTAAACAGAATCCTTTGAATTAGTATTTCATTTCTGATTTGAATTTAATTTCAAGTGAAAATCATTAGATAGGAGGTTTTTGTTTGCAGCTAGAAAGATATTTATAAGTTTTCTAAAAATGATACAAGCTGAGATCAAACTTTCTAGAACATTTGAATTATATGATCAAAACAATCGAGTTAGCATGGCTATGTATTAGATCAATTATAGTCTTTCTACTATTTTATAAAATATAAACAAACAGTTAACTAATCCAATATCTTATTCAAAGGATAAGTAAATCATATTTTAAAGAGTAATAACGATAAAAAACAATAATTCATGTTTAACATTTTTCCCATTTTTTGCCCTTTTTAACTTTTCTGACAAAAGAATTTGTTCAAAGTTAAAATTGAAATTTTACAAATTGCTCATAAATTGAAAAGGCTCATAAATTGAATTACCAGTAATTTTCAATTTCTTTAATAAAATTATTAAGCAATCGTTCTTCAAAGATTCCTGCTTTTGATTTTAACAATTATTGGAAGTAAAATTTAAATGAAACTGACTTTAATTAAATCATGAACATAATTAATTTATTAATTTAGATGATTTTTATAGGAGAAAAAAGAGATGATAAAGCTGATTATATATTACTAAATATATGAAAAATTCTTTTTTTATAGTTTTTCTTTAAGTGATTTGAATGATTTATTTTAATATTTTGTTCTTTTATTTTCTGTTGAAAAAAATTTTCAAACATTTAATCTTTTCTCCAACTGATAATTTTTAATTAATTAAATTTCAATTACACACCATAATCAAGTATAGGCTTTGGCATTGTTGCTTTCAGAAATGGTAATGTAGCAATTGTAAGTGGGAATTCCATCTGTAGCGTTTCATTACCTTTCTCGTCCTCTATGCAAGCCTAAATTTAAATTTTAAATGAATCATTGATTTCTGATTGAATTAACGATTATCACAATTTGCATGCTAAATTCTGATTGCTAATCTTTTTTCAATGGAAAGTAATGGTTTATTTTTTTCTTCTGAAGCAAAAAAGGGTTTATCACCTATCAATGATTAATAAAATTTGAGAAAAGGGAAGGGATGCCACGAGCCGGGATCGAACCGGCGACCTTTAGATCTTCAGTCTAACGCTCTCCCGACTGAGCTATCATGGCTGTGTCATATTCCTGTCACTAAATTTACTCTTTGCTACATTTGAAATAATTTTTAAATTTTGGCAATTTTCGAAATATGAAGACTTCTTTAGCAAAAAAAAAATGAAAAAAATGAAAATGAAATATTCTAAAAAGTATAGGTTAAGTTAAGATGTGTAAGTGTTTACTTGGAATACGTAGAAGATTTGTAGCAATCTACAAACACCGATCAATGTTGGTGGCACAACAGGTATGACAAATGATTGCAATTGAGCTGTGTCAAATTTACCTTGTGTATACGGTTCGACAGGTAATGTCCTGATGATATGATAAGAATTGATTTGAAATTAATAGAAAGTTCTGTTTAATTTGAAATTATTACTTCAAAACTTACTTGTTTTCTAAAACTACACAATCAATTTGTTTGTTTTCTCCAACATTTTTTCCCATAAAATATTCAACATGCTGAAATTAGCATTTAAATTATTAAAATTTACATTTGGAATTAATCCAAAATTCTTATTTAAAAAAATTATTTCTTATTTAAAAATTTAAAAAAATTGTGATCTTTTACTTTTGTGACTATGTTTAAATAAAAAATTGGTCACTAATTTAAGATGATAATATACTATCCTGATATTTTTCACCGTTTTAAATTGTTTGTTCTAAATGAACTTTTTTATTTGTTATTGAAATTAATCTTCTATAAAATTCAAATTTTTTATGAGATTGAAAAACTCTTTATAAATTTGAAATTGTGAAAAAAAAAAAAAAAAAGCACAAAACCTGAATTAAACGCATTACAATCCAAACTATTCCATTTTGACGATTTTCAACATGCGCTAAAATTCGTACATTTTCACCACATAAATATGCTGTACGATCCATAATAACTCTACAACAATTATATTTTTTAAAATTTAAAATTTTTTGATTTAACAAATGTTAAAAATGATAAAAAATTTTTGAATAAATAATTGCATCAATTTATTAATTATTTTGAGACTTACATTGATTTATTAATTGGCAATAATTTTGCATAGAAATGAATTACTAAATTATTCCTTGAAAAATAATTAATCAATTAACACAATAAAATTAGTTATTAATTATCTAATCGTTCCTATTAATCAACTTAATAGCCAATGGTTAATTACTAAATTTAGTAATTTTGTCAACAATAATGTCACCTTAATGCTAAAGCACCACGTCTACAGCATCCATGCCATGTTACTTCTTTATTTTGTCCAAGCAATGCACACTGTAAAATGGTTAAATTATTAAATTTATTTTAAATTTGAATTTCATTTTTAAAATTGAAAATAAAAAGAATGAAAAAAAAAAAAAAAAATGAAATTAATGCAACGAACACAATATTTTTCATCCATACAATCTGTTGATGGTCCAATAATTGTGAAATATTTGATACCTTGTGGCATACTACCATGTGGAATATTAATGATTACCTAAAAATTACACTAAAGTATTAAAATGCCCGAAATTAAAGTAAGCAAACATCTGTTTAGAACCTTTAGTATCATTTGCTATCAATTATCATATCAATTATCATTTGTTAATTTCTTTTTTTATAGTATTAAATGTGCAGATTGATTCATTCATACTTTAACATAATAACGTATTGTTCCAAATTTTGTTTCCAATGAACATGGCATTGAACAATTTGGTAATTGAAATTGAAATGGAAAATGATGTAAGCCAGAAAGTAGTATTGGTTCATCTTTTTCATCGAATTTTCCTAAAAAAAATTATTTTTTTTTTCCCCTTTACTTTACAGTAGCAATAGTTTTTCAATTTTTAAAAGTTTTCAATTTAAAATTATCAAATTCAAACTTTTTTAAAATGTAAAATTGGAAAATTTAAGTTCTGAAATATGAACTCTCATTATGTAAAATTTGCTTACAAATTATAATTTTTGGTTATAATAAAACTGTCACACACATTCTAATGGAGTAATAATATCAAAAAAAAAAAAAAAAAAAAAAAAAAAAACAACAATATTATCAATCATTTAATCGGTTATTTAAATTTTCTAATTGATAAAACTTTCAATTAATTTTTTTGTTGTCTTTTTTTTTTCAACATATTCCTCTTTTAATTTATAAAAGTTTTATTTTTTTGTATAAAATTTGAAAAATGAACTTTTAAATTATTTTTAAAAAAAAAAAAAAAAAAAACTGCTTGCCTTGATTCCATAAGATTAATTTTTCATTCAATATGTATTGATCATCTTGAATGGTACGTTTTTCACCTGTTTTATTTAACTTAATATGAGCTTTACCACGAAGAATTACACGAATATCTAAAAGTTTAATACTGAACGAAAAGTCATATTGTCCTGCTAATATTGATTTGATTAATTAAATTATTGATAATTGAAACCTTTGATATGAATATTTCGTGAATTTTCAAGAATGACATTGCCTGATACATTGTCACCACTATAATAAACATCTTTACTTAGTCGTATATCAAATGCTGTGATATAATTCATATCGTTGCTATAAAATAAATTATATTTACATCGATTGATTAATGCAACCAAATTAAATATTTTCAAGAATGATTTAATTTGTAAATTTTTTTGAAATTATTAACTAATTTATCAATTATATCTAAAAATGAAAGTATTGATTGAAAGAATTTTGTTTATTTATATTATATAAACGAAAAAGAATTATGGAATGTTTGATGGAACAAAAAATTGTCAACATATTGAATGTGACAAACAATTAATTCATCATTTTCTTTTTTTCTTCCTCTCAATTTTTCTATAAAATTATTAGTTAACTTTTATTTAATTAATAAGTATGAACATTTTTTACTGTTAAATTAAATTTAGAAATTAATTAGCCGATTATATGCTAATTTTGAATTTTATATTTATGAAAGTTTTCATTTTGAAAAAGTAAAAAGTATTGGAGATAATTTCCATTATTAAAAATTAGAAGAAAGAAATGAAAACAAAAATTGATTTAATCACTTTTTGTAAAGAATAGCAGAAGTTTCGTACTAAAATGAATTTTAACTTCTACTTTTCGATATTGTTTTTTAATTTTATGATTTTAAATTTCAGTGTAAAATTTGATTTATTCATTTTTCTTGCATGTATATTAATGATTGATTTATATTGAAACGATATTGAAATCTGTATACAAATGGTTCAAAACGATGTCACACTTTTTGGTCATCTAATTAAGACAACAGTTTAATTAAACGAAATAATATGACATATAGAAATATTAATGTTTACAACATTTTTCATAGTACATTTCCTGATTTGCTTAATCAAAACGGTTTTGTAATAAGTGTGAAGATTTTTTACTGTTAAATTAAATCTAGAAATTAATTAGCCGATCATATATTAATTTTGAACTTTATATTCGTTTTGAAAAAGTAAAACAATGAAATAGAATAGATGAGAGTGTGAAAATGAAAAACGATGTAGGAAGTAAAAAAAAAAAAAGATAATGTTCGAAATTATTTAAACTATTGAAATTTGAAAAGGTCATTACAGGGGTCAACAAACTGAATAAAGCAGCTAAACCATTAACTTAAATAGAAACACTCATTCATTGCTCAAAAAAATAAAAAAAAATTCTGCTGCATTAGTCGGTGATAATGTTAAGGCTTTCATTGTTAATTTTTTGAGGAAAAAAAAAAAAAGCAATGAAAGCCTTACAGAATAACATTTTTGCTTTTTTACTATTAAAAATGATATTCCTTCGGGAGACAGAAAAAAAAACAATATATATAAATACCGGAATCGATAAATGAAAAGTGAATTTCAGGAAGGAGAAATGAGCCAAGCCTAGCATAGACGATTGTTTAATCAAGCCTAATACCTATAAAATGTATTTTAATGTCATTCCAAGGCATGCATTTCTTATTAATAGCTTATTGGCTTTTCCGAAACAAATTTTTATTGTACTCGCTAATTTTTCATTTAAATACCTCACTGTTAGTCATTTCCCAATTATCATGCATACCATATTTCTTTAAAAATATAACACCTCTTAAGCGTTTAGATTCCAATTTTTTCTTATTAAAATTAAGAGAAGCCTCATTTTATCGTTTGGAAATTCATTCTTAAAATACCACTCGATTTACTGTGATTTTCACTACAAGATTAACAGATTCCATTCACAATAGAACGAAGTTCATACATCCACCAATTTAAATTAAAATTTGACATCGTTTTCCATTTTCTTGAAGATTCAGATTCTAGTTGAATTATATCTGAACATAAACATTGATTTCCACTATTTTATTCAAATTACACCAACAAAATAATATCACATAAATACACTGATTTCAACTGAGCAATGTATAAATGTTTACATCAAAAACTAGAAAAAATCATATCGATTAGATGGGAATGTTTACTGCATTTTTACAAAACCAGTAAAAGTGAATAAGGGGCCAAAAAGCTATCATACAGCAACGAGCAACATTCAAATGATAGGTATCAAAAAAAATTATTTCTCAATCTCAGTGAGATTTAAGTGAATTCTGATACACACATGACTCACTTTTTTTACTTCTACTTATAGCCGTTTTATTGCCACAGCAGTCGACTCACCTCCACCATTACATATCGTTGCGATACCAATCTGATTGACTTGAAGAGCATGCAAAAGTGTTACAACTATTCGTGCTCCAGATGCTCTGCAAAGAAATGATATTAATTTGTAACAAACAACAAGTAATCAGGACTGAGTTAGGTAAAATATCATGAAATATGAAAAGTGCTTAGCCGTACAAGTTTAGAATTATAAAGAAGCGAACGAATGGTCATTTTATTTCATTTAATTTTAGTTGCAATATATTTTAATTAAACCTAATACTCAGCTAATAATTTGAACGCTCAGCAAATTAACTAACAATGATTAAATGCATCAAGTTAAATAATGTCACATTAGGAAAAATATTTGGAGTGCTCGAATATTTACTATAAAATATTTTCTATCGGTTGAATTATTTAAAACTGCATGTTGTCAGTGATAAGAAACACTTCTACAAACTATTATTTTAATTCAACTTTATTTATGTTGAAGTTGTAGGAATCCGAACAATGAAGATTTAAAGAAAAAAAAGACTAGAAGCAATAACAAACCCAATCGGGTGGCCGAGTGAAACAGCTCCACCACGTACGTTAACGCGGCTGCTATCCAAATTCATATCACGCAAGAAAACAATGGCAGTCGCAGCAAATGCTTCATTCACTTCCCATAATGAAACTTCTTCCACCGATATTCCAATTTTCGAAAGTAACTTTAAAAATCTCAAAAAGTTTTATGAAGAAAATCGGTTGTGTAAAATATTCATTCTCTACCTGTTAAACAAAGAGATATGAACTAATGAGAGCGTAATGTTAAGAGTAGTAAAAATGCTAATATTATATTAAATATAAACTAACCTTTTTTACAGCAAAAGATGGTGCACGAGTGAATTCCACAGGTTCAACTGCAGCTTCTGCGTAACCTAATATCTGGGCTATTGGTTGACAACTTCGGTGAGCTATGAAACTACTGCTTGCAATCAATAGTGCAGCTGCTCCATCACTAATAGCGCTAGCATTTGCTGCAGTTATGGTTCCTGTATCTGGTATAAAAGCAGGTTTCAGGCAAGGCACCTAGAAATGCTGAACTGTAAACTGTAAATAAGAAACCTAATTCAAAAGTTTCGAAATTGTAATTTTTTACTACAGTAAAGTTAACCAATCGGTAAAGAATAACAAGGAATGATCTAACAACACTTTACAGTGAAATAAACAAAAGAGAGGAACCGTTGTAAAATAGTTATAAATATATTGCGTTTTTTCTTGCAAACGCAAATAGAAACAATAAAGTGGAAGGAAGATCAATGTTTACCTTCAAAGGATCCAGTCTTTTATATTCTTCATCTTGAAACACTTCATTTGAATCAAGAAACTTTACTGGTACAACTTCTTCATCAAATAAACCTTCCTTTAAACAAATTTTCCAAAAATTCTATAAGCTGAAAATATGATGCATAAGGCAAAAGCTAAAACTATAGAATATCAAGTAAAAAATATTACCTTCCAGGCATGATGAGCACGCCGATAGCTTTCCAGTGCATACTCATCCTGCTCTTTTCGATTTATTGAATATTCAGAGCAGGTCTTTTCAGCGCAAGCACCCATCCTTAATTTTGTAAAAGCATCATTTAAACCATCTTCAAACATACTATCCTGAAAATTACCAATAATTAAGAATAAAAAAATAGAAATTTGACACAAATGTAAGCACATAACTCAAGAAACTTAAAAGGTGAGCAAGTCAATATTTTAGATTTAAATTCTGAAATCTTACTACAAAGGGACCGCTCATGTCGTTGTTGTTGTCACCGCGAGGCACCCCGTAATAAGCATTACTCATACTTTCAGCACCTGCCGCCAGGATAACATTACGATCACCCAGATGAATTGCTTGAGTAGCCATAATAATTGCCTTCATACTCGATGAACACACCTTGTTGATAGTCACGCTTGGCGACGTCACCGGAATACCTAAATTTAACTTAGTACATAAATGAGCAATGAAAGCTGTATTTTGACCAATCCTGTTAATTTCAATATTTTTTGAAAGTTTCAATAAGAATTATACACTACTCACCAGCATTAATTGAAATCTGTCGAGCGATATTTTGACCGTGGCATGAAGTAAGCACACAACCGACCATTGTTTCATCGATTTCACTAGGAGATATTCCTGAAGATCATACGTAATGATCGATCTAACTGAAAAACAAACAAACTAAACATGCAGCTACTGCGAATTTAGTTCTCAAAAATGAATTCCGTAGACTTTCATAATATATTATAAACCATACCTTTTTTTTAAATATCGGAATAATTAATAAATCGTAATTAGAAAAGTCAAATATCACTAACAAAAAAACTATGCGTAAATCGGAAACAAGAAAAGAAGCTAGCATTAGAAGTTATAATCTCTCCCTTAGATCCTTTCCAAGCTTTTTGAGGACGAATTTTGGTAAAATTAATTTGATAATAAATTAAACCAGCTCTTCGGATTGCTTCTTTTGCCGCGACAACTCCTAAATATACCGGTGAACACCTCTTCAACATCTTACGATAACCACCTATCGGAGTACGTACAGCTGAAATAATGTACACATCCTCCAGCTGGTATCCTGCTCCATTATTTTTGTTCTCCATATCCAGGGTTTTGAATTTCATATAAATCTTTAGCAGTGAAGAGACAAAAACACAACTGTAGCGTTATCCTTCGAGAACCCTAAAAAAGATAACTTTTCGACAAAAACACATATATAAATGAGACTCTAAATTTAAACGTAAAACTGGGATATTGCAACTTTACAATAATTCGTAAACATTTAGTAACTGACCGAATCAGTATTGAAAATTCCATGAGACTTCAATATTATATAATTAACATATTGATTACCTACCCTTATACTTAATACTCAAGAATTTACATAAATGTTGAATAAAATTAACGCCGTGCCAATAAAGTACGAGCATCGATCTTTTTCTCTTAAAGACTTAATATATATAAATCTCAAAGTTAATTAATTTCGTTTTTAAAACTTTGTGATGTTTAAAAAGAAAGAATGAAGTACTTTTTCCCAACAAAATTAATCATTTCAAAAATGAATCTTTTTTTTTTTTGAAAACAGATGACTTAAAACATGTCATATTGATATTTAAAACACAAACTACAAAACGATTCCTTGATTACTCAAACATTACTACATGAAAGTGTTACTTACTATGACGACTATGACAATTCACAACTACAAATTACTATAGCATAAGAATGACAGTTCACATTACTTTTCATGCGTCAACAATTCAAACAAATGATATTTGAATTTTTTTTGGTCTTTTGAAATGCTGAAACCAAAATTGTAATCATAAAGTTTTTTTATTCCCAAGAGATAATAATAATAGCATAAAAATAATATGAAATACTTTAGAAACGAATGATACAATAATAAAATTGATAAGAATTCGTGATAGATTATAATCTCGAAATTAAAATCGAGATTAAACATTTGCCTTATCATTTTGGAGAATTTCGGAGTTTGTTGATTTAACAATTTCAGAGTTTGTGGATGAATCGACAAATCGCAATACTGTCCAAAAGGTATCATCCAGTAATATTACCATCCTTCGATAGTTACTGTATGATTTTTTTGCTTACGAAATTTAAAAATGTTATCAAGTTTAACGAAAAATAGAAAAAAAAAATTAAAAAATGTAATTTCATCCCAAATATAAGTAATTAAGAAAATCATTCATTAAGTAATTAAGTTAAGAGAATCTTTCATTTAACCTTAATGTATCTAACAACTATTAGTACTAGGTCAGGTGACAATAATTGAAAATTAACAAAGCAAAGAAGAAATTATTTAACTTTTAAAGCAAAAAAATAGGAAAAGACGTAGAGTATTACAATTAGTGAGAGGGAGAAAGAGAGAGGGAAAGAGACAATGGAATTTGAGGATGCAGAATGAAAAAATCTGTGAGAGAGTCTTTAGCCATAAACTGAAAAAGCAGCAAGAGCAGACGTGCAAACGGCAAATGTACGAGGCGGCCGTGTTTCTCAAATCGTGCAAATTGATGGATCACGTGACGGAAGTGCTGTGCTGGTAGGCGTGGCGTACGTGTTTACAGTTAGTTACTTATGGTTGGATTGCTTTGATATCTTCCTTTGAAAACATTGAAAACATGGACGTGGAATATGGAATGGAAGTGAGAGAAGTTGGAATATTATCGATTGAAGTTTGTTTTAAATTAATTGTTGCTTGTATTTGTTGAAATAATAAAATTTCAAAAAACAATTCAAAATTCTACCCAAAAGAATTGAATTTAAAAATTCAATACTAAAATGAAAAAAAAAAAAAAAAGAAAAACATTTTTCAAACATTGACACTCTAGATTTCTATTAGCCTCTATGAGAATTTCTGAATTTAAAAAATTTTTAAAATTGAGCAATAATTTCAAAATTCTACAAAACTTCCAAAAATTATGAATTTAGACTGAGAAAGGAAATTTGTCAGTAAAAGAAAGTATTGAGATGATTCACCTGAAATCAACCTGAAATGGATTTGAATATTAAAAAAACATTACCTTTGCTATGTTGTAGTTAAAATTTTTTAAATTTAAAGAAAAGATTTAAATTTTAAAAACATTTATCCATTCCGCGCTATATGCTAATTTTTACTTTTATTAAAGTGGGCAAATTAGGAACTCAATTATATAGTATATATATGATTGTTTCATTCAGTGTCAAAGGTCAAACGGTAAATTATTGCTCAAGCACATAGTTGATTACACTTATGAGCGTTGATAGCAAAATATTTGTCACAAAGATTGTCATTGATCAGCAAAACGGAACTACAAACTTTTTTGTTATGTTATTACAATGTTAATTTTTTTCTAGGAAAGATGGAATTATAAGAAGAAAGAAAGAAAAGAAAATTGTTTAAAGTATCACCCAAAAAGTCAAAAGTTATGATTATTGGTGGGTGGTAAGTGCAAGAGTTTAATAGTTGAGTACGATCGTTTTGGTAATGTGAAAGTTTGATTTTAAAGAATGATATGACAGTAATGATGATTGTGAATCAATGATAATAATAAGTCAAGTTGTTGAATTAGATATTTATTTTTAAGATGAATTTTTAAGAAAGAAAACTAAGTGTATTACACTTGGATCATTGATGAATTCAATATTTTTGAATCCAGAAAAAATATAAATAGTTTTTTGAAGAAATTTAGAAAATACAAACTATTTTTATAGAATTATTTATCAATTAATGAAAAGATGATAAGATAAGAATCATTTCATCAAGTGATCAATTTGACTTACGACGCACAACATCAATAAAATTAATAAATTTTTGATAAAATTTCAGTATTTATATTTCTATTTCAATACTGAGCAAAATTATTACTTACTAAATTTCTTTCAATTTCTTATGCATAACATTTTAAAACTAATTGCTTATACATTATTGTCCAACATATTTATACTATCTTTTATAAATTTATTATATTTGTTATTTATTTGTAGACATTGCCATATTTGTTTTATTTTATTTCATTCGCTCCATAATGATAATAATTGCTAATTTTTCATTTTCGAATATTTATAATTTACCTTTCATTTAATTTCTACTTTTATCAAACTACTTGACAAAAATATTCATTTGACCATAATGTAAAAAAAGCTTATTTTATTTGAGAGTGAAAAACACAGACCGAATAAATTTTTATTCAATTTTAATTAATTCATTCATACATTTCGATCATTTTAACCACTTTATTGTTACATTATTTTACAATTGATAAGATATCAAAAGGCAAACATTTTTATCGTTATCATTTCTATTAAGCATAAAGTTAATCACCAAAAATGAAAATTTGATTAGCAAATGTGTATGGAAGATGTAAATAAAGGCTTCGAATTGGTACAAATAACTAATGAACAATTTATAGCATCGCTGCATTAATCAAAAATAACATAAAATTAAATTTGCCGATAAAATTTATGAAAAAATTTAATTAATTGAATTGTTGGAGTGAGTTGAAAATTTCCTTTGAAATTGCTAATTTATGTTTGTTTGCTTTCATATGAATGTGTTTTCATGTGTTCTTTGTTGCAATAACAGTTTTGTCTTTCATTTGGTCGAGTTTATACTTCAGGTATTATCGTTTTAAAATAATTCCATTATGAGAATATTGTAATTCTTCCTAAATATTAATTGAGTTTAATTACGATGAAATAAAATAATACTAACTGCGAACAGGTAATAATTTTAGGTTATTTATAATTTGAACTTAAGTAATATTTGAAAATTAGCAAATTAATTACTCATAAAATAATTTAAATACTGAAATTAATTTGTTAATTACCTCTCTTTAGGTTTCTTTTGACAAAGTCATGAAATAGCTAATTGTCTTCTCAAAATTCGTCTTGGATATCGCTGGGGAGGATATTTCGATGAATGATGATCAGTTATTAAATTTAATTCATCATCCATATCATTTATTAATGATTGCGAGCGAAATATTGCTGTAAAGTATCTTTTAAATTTTTTTTTTTAAAGAAGAAAAATTTTAAACTGTTTAACTAAGTTAATTCCTGAAAATAACTGGAAAATTTGATTTCCGTTCAACTAAATGTATCAAAAAAAAAAAAAAGAAAGGATGAAATTTTAGGAAGTATATTTGTGAAAAGAAAAGAGATTGATTAACATCATTTCAAAAATTTCTACACCTTTAATATTTTGTTCTAATAATTTTTGAACACTTACGTGGTATAGTTGAATACTTACGTGGTGTAGTTGACGTGATACACTTGATACGATTCTGTTCCTTTTTATCACGGTATAACTGTTCCTCATATCGTGATGGTCGATGTGGGATTAAACATGATGAATGGAAAACTGATGATCGATTGATCTAAAAATTAATTTTTCTTTTTTTTTTGTTACAAAATTTTGGTTTAATTTGATACGACAATTTGACACTTTAAAATTTTATGTACAAAAAAATTAAAAAATTATTGACGGACCTGTATCGGTGGTTTTGCAGCAATATTATTTTTATGCATATAAGTTATCAAATGCCATGGAACATTACGTAGAGCTCTCTCAGCTATTCGTTTTGCATTTTGCTTTGGTGTTGCTTCATTTATCATTATCGAATTTAAATCGATAAACTATAATTTAATTTAAATCAAAATTGAAAAAAAAAATTTACAGTCAATAAAAATTTATTTGCAATCTAAAAAATCATTTAGTATAAAAAGTTGAGAAGAATAAATAAAAGAGAATTGCCTTTATAAAATTTCGATATTAGTAAAAATTTTGATTTTTCATTTTATATTTGAATTTTAACGTATTCTATTACTTTATCAGTAATCACATCCATTTTATGTAATTTATATTGCAACAAATAATTTGTTGCAAATTTAATGCATTAAATTATTTCATTAATTTGCTCAGCAAATGATAAGCAAAGAAAAAAAATAATAAATTTAGAAATAAATTTTTTAAGAAACCTCAACAAAATCAGAATTCAATGATACATCATCACCCGGTAGTTCACTTTTCTTAGAAATTGTGACACTGTTAAATGTATTCAATTCTGTCACTCTTCTTCCCAAAAATATAATCGAAATTGGCGCTTTTGTCATATTTCTTACAGCATTCATCATTTTTTCGGAATTAACAATTGAACTGCTCGATGCAAAAATGAGCAAAAGGAAATAATGCAATCCAAGTTTACCTTCATTTTGCGCCATTCTAAAAGTTAGAATTCATTGAAATTATTTGAAATAATTTGAAGTAAATTTTATTTGAAATAAATTTCAAACCATTTTACATATTTTGTGACTTTTTTTTTTTCTTTCTTATTTCTAACTGATTATTAAATAAATTTTTGTTCGGTTTTAAATAAATTCAAATAAATGTCAATAAATTTATTTCATAGAGACATACTTAGCTACAGCATTAACAACAAGTGAATATTCGGCTCGATCACTAGGCATCACTTTTCGTCTAGCATTTTTGTATGCTTCCAACACTCTGTCAATACCTCGACAATACGGTTTTGATTCGAAATTCTACAAATAACAAGTAAAAATTGAGTTATAACTTAATTTGAAATTTAATTCTAAGTTTTTAAAAAGCTTTGAGCCATCGCTCCTCAATAAATGACAGAAATAATAATAATTGTTAATAATAATTAAGTATTTAATTTCTTATTTTCATACATTCTTGCATATTACATAATTTTCATCACAAATTTTTCTAATTCTTTGCTAATATTTATAAATTCATTTCATTGATGAGTACAACTAAACACATAATTAAGTATTTGATTTCAATTACTAATTTGACAAAGTTATTGTAATACTTGCAATATTATAATTATAACTAGTAAACTGATAAATCAGTAATTAGCATAGTACTATTTATTTTAGAATTTTAATATTCATTTTAAGTTGGTAATGAAAGCTCAGCAATCAAAGATAGAATTAAATATTAATGAATGCTAACCAAATGAAAAACTTGAGAATTATTTAATGCTGATGGAATTTTAGCACCAAGACCAAATGCCGGAAACATTTTACTTCTATAAAATTAAATTTGTTGATATTAGAAATAAAATTAAGTTTAAAATAAAAGTAAATCTCTATGATTGATAGAATTAAAAAGCAATTTAAAATAGCAATAAATAAAAACTTTTTAGAGTTTATTGGAAAAATTCATTTATTTTAGCTATTAAATTTTTCATCAAAATTGTTTGTAAAAAAAAAAAAAAAAAAAAAGAAACTAATTTAAATATTATAAATGCATACGAGTTGTAGTCTCGAATAATACCAGCGATACCTTTAATAGCACAATGGAAATCATTGTCAAATATATGTGTATCGTTCAGTTTGTTCACAGTTAAATTAGTTGAAAAATCCACTGCTATCGCAAGATGAAGTTGAGTTCTGGATGAATTTAAAAGTTTTCATTTTGTGAAATGAAAAATGATAGACAACAAAAACAATTAATTACTATTAATGATAGATAACAAAAGAATTAATTACTTGAAATGAAAAATGATAGACAACAAAAATAATTAATTACTATTAATGATAGACAACAAAAGAATTAATTACTTTAATAATTAATTACCATTAATGCTACTAATTAATTTGTACTGTGACTTTTAATTCGATAAGATAATCTCAAATGATTTTTGGTAATTTCGAAATAATAATAAGAACAATAATTGATTTATATTTTTACTATAAAGTATTAAATTTGATAAGGATGGATCTAGATTTAAATTTTTCAATTGAAAAAATTTAACAACTGACCCACTGGTGATATAGTCCAAAAAGGTGTAAAATGATACATCGCTAAATTTAATCAATTCCATTGTTCCACTTTTTAAATATCCTTTTTTTGACTTTTTTTTAGGATTAATTAAACTGTAAACATTTTCCTCGCCTGGACCATATTTCATTTTTGCATATGTTGTTAAAAAAGAACCAATTAGGCCGATTTTATTCATTTCATCGCGATACATAACAGATACTTCTAGCAATCTGAAAGGATTAATTTCGATTAAAAATATCTTTTCAAATTAATTAAAATATCTTTTATTAGTTTTAAATTACATTTTAATATTTGAAAGGTAATATAAAATAATTTGTAAAAAATTTGTGTAAATTTATTCGCTTAACTTAATTTTGTTTTTTTCATAATTTTTATAATGTGAAGATGAAGTGATAAGAAATGATATGTTCGTGATAAAATAACTATAATTGAATAAATCAAAATGATTTCATCAAGAGGTGAGCACACAAAAAATGTGAAAAAAGGGTGACATTTACTTTTATTTGATTACAAAGATTTTATTTTATCAAATTTTAATTAAATTAAAATGAAACTTTAATTAAATTAAAAAAATGAAATAGAGCAAAATGTTCTATAATAGTAAAATAATTTAATTTAAACATTTAACAGAGACAAAATTAATAAGATTTAAAAAAAAAAAAAATAAACAAACCTGTTTCTATTATCAGCAATTTTCCTCAAATGTAAATTAAATGGTCGCCAAATAGGATGAGAATGTTCTCGTATATGTTCGCTTCGATACAACTCCGTTTTTGTTTTATCATTTTCTATTTTATATATCTGAGAGAATAAAAAAATTTGCAAGAAAAAATTTATTCTTACTTATCTAATAAGTAAAATATCAAAATAAGTAGGTTAATTAAAAAAAAAAAAAAAAAAAAAAAAGAATTGCAATATTACAGGTGCTGGTTTTTCAGGGTTTGAGTGGTACTTAAAAAGATTGGATCAGATTAAATCGAACTATTAGTTTAAACTAAAAATTATTCGACAGGTAGCCTGAAATATACCAAATATCGTTTTGATTACCTTTTATCAGGTGTTAAGTTTTGTTATCGACTGCTATGCAAAAATATATTTTTTTACCTGGATGATTCTATTGAGAGGTAATTCTTGGATAATCATTAAATGTACTACTACTTACTGCAAAGAAAACTGATGTTTCATCGAAAAATTTGTCCTTTTTTTGTAAATTTTTCCCGGAAAATTGCAATATTACAGGTGCTGGTTTTTCAGGTAAACGAGCAGAGACAAGAATCCAACCACAATATGATTGTTGTGGTACCGCATCAAGTTGACTGATTGATGATGTTTTTGCACTGAAAATTGATTGTTATTTTAAATTGTACTGTAAAATATAAAATAAGATATATAAAATATAAAAAAAAAATAACATATAAAAAATATAAAGCTAAAGCAAACAAAAAAATGGAATTTTTTTATTTGGTACTCATAAGAGTAATATTAGGTATCAATTTACTTTTCAAATTAATTAAAAAAATTACCTTAGCGGTAACTGAAGTTGTGTACCAAATGCGCCAATTAACTCATCGAGTTTGAATATGGAACTACCAATGACATTACCAATTGTATTTTTATGTGAAGTATCTATCGAAAAATCTCTTCTACAAAAAAAAAAAAAAAAAAAAAAAACTTTAAAATTTATGAATCCATGATAATAAAACAATAATATTACAATCACTCTTTATCTAATTCTATTTATAATTCTGTCACTGTCAGTATTTAATCCCGCGACATCTCATTCATATCAATTGTATTCAGGATTTTTTCCCGCGGTGATCATTACCTACTAAACTTACTTTACAAGTACTTAAGTTACAGTTTTCCGATCAAATATACAAAATGTCACCAAGTTCATATCATTAGGATTTAACGATTAATAGCACCAATGCACTTTCGGATAAAATTAGATAAAAAGTTCATTCATTTGAAATTCTCTTACTGAAAAGTCAAATTAGTGATTATGAAAATTTCCGTATTAATAATTATTTAATCGGAAGGAAAAATTCAAGTTATAACTTTAAAATTAAACCTTTATAAAAATATTTATGTAAATATGCAAATTAAAAGCTTACATTTCAATTTTCATTAGCTGTACTCTTTCAAAGAGATAGTCAACAGTAAAGGACATATTAAAAGAAATATGATTAGAGCATAGCAATTCTGGTTCGCTTGTTGAATGCTGAAAATAAATTCGAGATTAAATTCGAGACCTATATTAATTAAAATTTAAACAAGTCGAAATATTAATTTTGTAAATTTCAGATTTTAAAAATATAATTAACTGTAATATAAGCAATGATTGTGTATAATAAAAAATATCTCAGTGATTTTTCAATTTTGCTTAATCTGTGAAAAAAATATTTTCAAAATTTTATTTAATTGTGAAAAATCCAAACAAATGATACGAATTTAGAGTAACTTTTAGAATAAATCATAAAGTAAAGTAAGTCAAAAGTTATTGTTATTTCATTTCTTTTTTCATATAGCATTTGTGAACTTTGCTCTGTACATTTTGTATTATTATAATAGCAATGACAATAGTTAGTATTAAATAATCCAAACTAAAAGAAACACATTATACATTTAAAATTTTTTTTTTTTTTTGTTGAAATTAAATTTAAAATTAAATATTGAAATGGTTGCTAAGTTAGACTTAAAAAAAACAAACCAACAGCCATGTTTTCTCGTTTTCATTATCATTTTCATAAAGGACACTGAAGACATAGCTATTGCTTGATGTGGTAAATCTATCAGTAAAATTTCTAAAAAGCGCAAAAAAAAAAAAAAAAATCATTTGATAACGATTATAAGAAAAATAATTAAAGTAATGAAATTTTGAAAAAAAAAAAATTTCTGATAAATTTGTTAAATAATTTAATTCTGATAAATAATTTAGGAAATTTATTTTAATTTCAAAGTGGCGCTATTGTTACACTTAAGAAAAATTTTGTTTGATGCAAAAATTGTTGAAAATTGAATGTATTCTTTAAAATGTACATTAATTAAACATAAATTTTTTCTTTTTTTTTTTTTTTTTTTTTTTTTTTTTAAAAAAAAAAAACGGTAAAGGGACAAACAAATATTATTTAAAATAAGAAAATTGGAAGAACTTGCCGAAGTTCAACGATAATCTCAATTTTTTCTTCATAATTGCAAAAAAGTTTCCGATGAACAACTGAATCACTTGCTGAGCGATTACGCCTAAAAGTTTACGAAAAAGAAAATTAATTATAATTAAATTAACAATTTGAAAATTATTAAAAATGAATAAAATTAAGTTAAGGAGGAATAATTTTTTCCACATAATGCAATACTTTTAGTTGGTGCAATTTTAGTTATTATTGTTAGCTTACTTTAAAAAAGTAACTAATTTCAAGAAAATTGCTTTTTTAAAATTGTCTGCTTGTTATCAGTCAAAGAATTAAAAAGTTACCCTCCCGAAAAAAAAAAAAAAAAAAGAAAAAATTAAATTCATTATTATTAATATGAATTACTATTAGGAATAACAACTATAAGTCTTATAACTATAATAACATTTTTATAACTCTAATTACTACTATTTATAGTTTTAGAATTGACCATCACTAATATCTGAATCGTTTTGAAAAATTTTTACTCATTTCTTTTTATTTTTTTTCAAAGCTATAAAATTGATAAGCATAATTCAAGCATTTCAACTGGCAGTAAACAACAGTATGCTAATATAAATACGTAGAAGTACCATGCTGTTTTTAATTTGTTATATTATTCAATTCAAATTATAGCTTATATTTGTCGATCAATCATTCATTTTAAATTTTTATTATTTCCTTTTACTTTAACTAAAATTAGCTCAGCAGGACTAACTTATAAATGTCGTAGTAATCATAAGGAGAATGAAAATAAAACGTTGCAGTTTAGTAATCATTTTGTTTACTCTTTCACCTTCTCTCTTGTTTACTCTTTCACCTCCTCTCTTGTTTACTCTTTCATCTTCTCTCTTGTTTACTCTTTCACCTCCTCTCTTGTTTACTCTTTCATCTTCTCTCTTATTTACTTTTTCACCTTCTCTTCGGTTTAGATATCAGGAAAATTCCGCATTTAGGTATTTCTGATACTTTAACTTTATAATTAAACGGTATTTAATGATAAATTATCATACGTGAAGAGAAATGGGAATAAAAAAAAAAAAAAAATTTTACCGCATGTTTTAACAAATTGAAATATTTGAAAAGAAAATGTTTATATTGAAGTGCTATATCGCATTTTCAAATGTCTATGATTACTGATAAATAATAAATTTAATGAATTTATCAATATCAAATATCAATTGCTATTAAAATTTATATGAATGAATGCAATGACTGATTCAATTTTTTTTTTTTTTTCTTCATTCTGTCTAAGAAATATTTCTTAAATGAAAACATCGTTTATTTTCGAAATTCTAAAACAACAAAATGTATTTAAAAATTAATGAAATATGAGTAATATGAAATTTGCAACTGTCATTATTTGAAAAGAAAAATGTTTTAAAGAAAAAGAAAATTGCACCCCCCTTTGTATTTAGTAAGTTTCATTTTTCATCTCCAATATAGAATTAATTTTAATATGCGTTCAAAAAGGTCAAAAAAAAAAAAAAATTGTTTGTGGCATTAAAAGCTATAAATTAAATTTGAAATGAATTAAGCAAAAAAAAAAAAAAAAAGGAAAACTAAATATAATAATCAATAATAAATATCCATGAATAACTTTGAAAAAATTATTATTTTTTTTTTTTTTTCAAAATATGTCAATTTTATTTACATATTAATTCATTGGCTTATAATGTTTACATATAAAACAATTTGATTTGAATAATTTTTTTTTAATATAATATCGATAAATCATATTTCTTCTCTTGATTACATGTATCTTTGATGCAAATTAATATTTACCGATGAAAATGCACCAAAGGAAAAATATTATATAAAATTAATTGTGTATGTAATTATATATGGAAATAAGAAAAAGTTTGATTTAAATATTTAGCTAAGTGTTTAATTTTAACAGTTGTACATAACTCTAAATTTTATGGTTTTTAACTTATTTAAATATGTGTAATGATAATTAATACTACAATAAACAAGAAAATATTAATTTTATATTTTGTGTTTCGTAAACTAAAATTTTTTTATTTTAATATTACGGAAAAAAAAATTTATTAAAATAAAATGAAAAGCACTTTTTCGTAATAAATTATTTTATAATTATATTAATAATTATTTCGTACAATTAATGTTATCCTTTGAATAGCATTATTTCAATCTCTTAATTGAAATCTTTTAATTTTCTCAACGGTACATTAATTAATTCCTTTATAATATTCATCAGCATTTCAAGTATTGCAAGGAGAATAGAAGAAAGGAAGCAATTAAATTTGATTGGCATAAAATAAAATATGTGTAAAAGTTTCATCTTGTAAATTCGAATGTCAAAAAGATGCAAGAATAATATTTAAAGATTATTCTCCATCAATAATTTTCAGTGAAAAATAAAAATCAAAAATGATTGCAATTAATACTCCAAAAACTAACTAGCTCTAATAAGCAGAGGAAAGTAAGGATAAAATAAAAATATACTTACCTTGATATCACTTCCTCGAGAAATTAACATTGTATCATTACTGTTACTAGCTTTAATTTTCCACTTTGCAGGTATTTGAATAAATTACCTGTCAGTTTCTTTTCTCTCTATCAAAAAGAATGAAAGATGAAAGAGAAATTTACCGTGATTTTAGTGCACTGATGAACCCAGTCTTAGTTGAACGTCGTCTGAATGCCAAATAACGACTACTAACTTGTGATAGATTCATTCTCTTTCATTAATTCATTGCTCCAATTATTTTCTCAATTAGTTTCTGAATATTAATTAGAAAAATATATAAAATTTACTATAAAAGTGATTATCAGACGAAAAAAATTTGCCAAAAATAAATGAAAATATATTATATATATGCTTAATCTTAATATTAATGACTTTTTCGTTAAAAATAAGTTTCATAACAAGGAAAGCTTGAAGAGATTATGCAATTCTAATCTGAAAAGATCTTCAAAAATCTCAGATAGATTGCCAGATGAAATGTTTTGATGATTTGTTGATGATACAAATCTCGACAGATGCAATGAAAAGAAAAATAAAGTTTGCATAAAATTGCATCATGCTGGGAAAATAAATAATTGTATAATTAATTGGCAATGTTGTGAGTGCTATATGATAATAATAAATATAACGATGAAGGACAGAAAGGTAGGAGGAGGACAAGAAAGTGGCTGTCACTTTGATTATCACATTTTAGAATGCAACAATGACATGACAACAAATATTACTACTTCTTTATTATTATAAATATTGTTGCTGCTACTTTCTAGTATTAAAATTATATTCTGACCATCATTGATAATAATAATAACAACAATAATACCAACAAAAACAATGAAATAATAATAATAGTAATAATAATAATAATATTAATAATAATAATAATAGAATAGTGGCATATTATTATAAATATTGTTGCTGCTACTTTCTAGTATTAAAATTATATTCTGACTATCATTGATAATAATAATAATAATAATAATAATAATAATAATAATAATAGCAGTAATACTAACAATAATAATATTAATGATAATAAAAATAGAATAGTGGTATATTATTATAAATATTGTTGCTGCTACTTTCTAGTATTAAAATTATATTCTGACCATCATTGATAATAATAATAATAATAATAATAATAATAATAATAATAATAATAATAATAATAATAATAATAATAATAATAATAATAATAATAATAATAATAATAATAATAATAATAATAATAATAATAATAATAATAATAATAATAATAATAATAATAATAATAATAATAATAATAATAATAATAATAATAATAATAATAATAATAATAATAATAATAATAATAATAATAATAATAATAATAATAATAATAATAATAATAATAATAATAATAATAATAATAACAATAATAACAACAATAATAATAATAATAATAATAGTAACAATAACAATAATAATATTAATGATAATAAAAATAGAATAGTGGTAATAGTAATGATAATGATAAAAATAAAAATACTGATGAAAATACTGCCAACAATATTGATTCTAGCTATTGTTATGAGCAACATTAGTTGATTATTTGTTAAGAGATAGCATATTAATCAGTTAGCAGTTAAATCCGTTAGAGATGGCAAGAAAATTAGAGTCAATATTGTGAATTTCAATGCATTTTCATACGGAAATGCTCTGAAAATAGTGATTGAAAGAGGTTCGTATGCATTATAATATTCTGTTTTATAATTGAATCACTCAATTTAAGAAATTATTCATATATGCTACAAGCAATTTAATGAGCAGTCAAAAGAATAGAAAGAGAGCAAATTGAATGAATACAAGCAGAATTTTCTAATATTTTTCTCGAGAAAATGTTGATTAAATTTCATTCACTTCAATTAATATAATAAAAAGAAACATACCGATAAAAGAAGAATATTAAATTAATTAATAATGAAATATGAGCAAAAAAAAAAAAAAAAAAATTAAATTATTTTCAATTCTTTTGCGGCATTAAATGAAATAATACATTGGCTAATAAGAAAATTACAAATTGAAAATTTGAGTAATAATTAATTTTTTGACAAAAAATTACAATTTTTGCATTTTAATAAAACTATAAATGGTATTGTTTAAAAATTGAAAGAAAAGGTAAATTAGTATTGATTAACTCAAAAGAGATTCTCAAGAAGATAATAAGTAAATTCAAATCCATTTATTAAGAGCTTTGAGGAAGCAGAATGAAGTATCATTAATAAAACACACAAAGCCAGTCATCATCCTTTTACATCATTGACTCATTTTCAAGAAACCATGAATAAAATCATCAGCTCATCTAATAATTATCACAAAGATACATACATACATACATACATACATACATACATACATACACATACATATACACACACATACATACATACACATACATGCATGCATGCATGTATACATATAAACGAATGAATGTATGGAAATCAATTGAAAAGAAGAATAACTTAGCATTGATATTAGGCAGATATAATTGTCACACTGTCAAACAATCAAGCATAATTAATCTAATGTTTGATCAGATCATAATTGATCAGATCAAGCATAATTGATCAGATCAAGCTTAATTGATCTAATGGAAAAGAAACTTTTTTAACCAATTTCGTTTTGAGCTAATTTCGTTATAGTTAAAGAGCTAAAGGTCAGATAAAATCATAGCAGGTATGAACTTAATCATTGATATTTATCTTATAGCTTCGAATATTTGGAACTATTCTGATTGATTAACTTGTCTATTACTATGCTTTATACGATTTTTTCAAAAAAAAAAATTTTCAAAATTGAAAAAATCTGAAAAAAAAATTATTCTGAAAAAAAAAATGTTACTTTAAATTCAAATTCAAAAAAAAAAAAAATTCAACAGGATCGAATGAGATGCAAATTGTTTTAATCATTAAACGCGAGCAGTAATTTTCATCTAAAAGAATTTAATTTCAAAATATTTAGCAAATAAAATAAACAAATATTTAATTATGGCTATTGATAGGTTAACATTAAATTTGCCAATGTTTTTCTGAATAATTTTCATCACAATTTTATTTTTTTTAAGCGAAATTGTTCTGTTTATGACACAGATATCAACGATGATATTTTGTAGCAATAATGATAATGATAATGATAATGATAGTAAATTATAGTAAGATTATCATTCTTTTAACTAAAAAATATTGATCCAACAAGAAGGACAAACTGAAAAATTAAGATTGAATATTAAAATTTTCATATTTTACCAACAATTTGTTTAAAAAAAAAAAAAAAAATCTGTTTCTTTTTTCCTGTCAAATTGAAATTTATTCGATCAAAGTTCTTTCAAAAACAAATTAAAGTAAAAAAAAAAAAAGTTCTTTCTCTTTTTTTTTCTATAACGATAATAATTACATCATATTTGCCCATTAAATTATACCATCCTGTTAATCTGAACGAGAGAAAAAATAAATAAATAAATAAGAACGTCCTCTTTTTCCTTTTCTCCCTCTCTCTCTCCCTCTCTCTCTCTCTCTCTAAAAAATAATAATTAGTTTTTATAAATGACACATCAATTATTATATCGATTAGAGTTTTGTTCAACGGAATATTTTGTCAATAAAAAAAAGAGACATTTCTAATGGAATATCTTCATCCGTTTGTTATCATTTTCATCCTTCTATATAATTCTGAAAAATGAAATGCATTTTCTCTCTTCGATAGATAATATATCGCTGAGTCATACGATTTCTCGGTCCATTAAATGATGTCACCCGATGTCACCTGCAACTGTTGCAATTGACGGAATTCTCGTCACTGAGCACATCTCGTAGAATTGATTATCTTTAAATTAATATAATATAATAATAATAATTGTTGTTGTTGTTGTTATTGTTGTTGTTGTTGTTATTTGCTGCGATCCTTATTGTTACTCTTCTTCTTATTCCTATTTATTGTTGTTATTTGTTGCGATCCTTATTGTTAAAAACTCTTCTTATTCCTACTTATTGTTGTTATCGTTGCTGTTGTTGTTGTTACTATTGTTATTGTTATTATTGTTTGTTATTGTTTTGTTTGACAACTAATAATTGTTAGGTATTCATTTTTCTTTTTCGACCACAAATAGAACAGTTCAGGAACGGATTTATGAATGACTCATATTTGTTGGAGAGAGAGAGAGAGAGAGATAGAGAGTAAATAGAAAATAGAGCATAGCTCAGTAGACTGTATGTAAAAAATAGACTATACTCATGAGGATAAAACAGTGTGAAAGAGAGGAAACGGAAATAATTAGAAAATAGAATTCGTTTTATACTTGTGGCAGTGATTGAGAGTAAAGAAAAGAATGTAGCAAATAAGGAGAGCACAGAGATCGATGAAAAATACACGAGATATGACAGGTTGATAAAAATGAAAAAGAAGCAGAGAGGACATTTGGTATTGCTTTTTCTATTTGCGAAGATTAAAATTGATGAAAAATGGGAAGCTTTTCCGTATCTTTTCATATATTTATGACTTTTTAGAAGGATTGGCAACCTTTTGATTTATACATTTTCAAATTATATTTACATTTTTAAGTTCTATCATATTTGTTGTGAAAATATTAATTAATTAATACCATGTAGAATCCATAATTACCATTATGATTATACTGTTGGAGTGTTATAATCATTGCAAAATGTTAATTTGCCGAATTTTTTTTTTTGTTTTTTCTCTTTTCTCTTTCTTGTTGATTTTTGATGCAAAATTAATTTTAAGAAATGGGAACGAAAAACATTGATGATAATAAATATGAAGGTTTCGAATCGAGACATCAACAGCAGCTGTTAGCAGCCGGTGTACCGAAACATTTTTGGCGACGCTTACATGAAAAGCTTGTCAATGAAATATTTGATGCGGGTGACTTTTTTCAAATTTTGGAAGAAATTAATGAAGATGGCAAGCATCATTATACAGTTGTGGCATTGCAACAGTTGAGAATGGATGATCCCAACTGGTAAATGAGATTTAATAACATCTTAAATTATTTAAGGGATTTAAAAACTTAAATCAGAAAAAAAAATATTCAAAAATTTTCAAATTTCAAAAAATTCAAAAAATAAACTTGAATGAAGTTTGTATTCTCAACTTCACTTAAGTTTTCCATCTAACTATGCTTTTTTCCTGTCAATAATGCTTTAACTATAAGATGTTGAAGCCATATTTCATATCTGGGATGTATGTTCTAGAAGAAATTACATTTCTGGTCTTAACGAACAGAAAAATGCAGGAGGGAAGAGCTGTTATTAGAAGGTAAATAGATATGAGTTAGATGGATAAATCAAGCTATATTAATTACGTCGTGAGAATCACCTTCGCTGCATATTCCCATAAATAATTGGTCCAAGAATTTATTATTTAAATTTGATATCTTTGTATTTCAGTTTTTGTTTCTTTCAGCATTTTTCTCATAGATCATGCGTGGACTTTTCGACCACAGATCGCACGAAGACAACTACGTGAAATTCCTGATCTTCTGGATCGGATTTGTAATGTTTTCAATATTGAAGTATGATATATGTTTTTCATATCACTTAATAAATAGAGTCATTGATAGTCAGACATTAGGCGAGAGATTAATGTTCATTATTAGTCTTCGAGAATGACATGATAATCTGTAGCATTCAGATGCTTATAACCTACACCGAGAAGCCAAGAATCTTTAGTATTTCTAAAAATCAGCGGGTTTTGGAATGAAAAATACTGACTTAATAATGTATGTTGGATTATTTTAGTAGGACCACTATGTAACAAGATACCATAATTTACATGTAATGTAATTAGTGATTCGATTATTGTTCGATAGCATTATTATTTAAAGACTGTGGGCTATTTCACAGTATATTGCTTTTTTACATTTCAAATTTCTAGTTGCTAGTGCACTGGGATTTTTTTGATATCCAACAATATGAACACCATAAGAAGCTACTCTTCGATTTCAGTTTTAGTTAAAAAGGTCTCATTCTTATCATTCAGTTTAAAATTATCTATTTTAGGATCAAGAAAGAAGTACAGCTGAAAGTCATTCGGATTACGGTGGTAGTGGTGACGATTCACAAATTCCTAGTGGATTGCACTGGCGAACTGGAAGTAATGAGGACGAAGGTATAGTGAAATCGATGAGCCATAGTGACAGTCTTAAAAAGCATAATGATAATAAATGTGATGGTAATGCCGGATCAAATAATTCTAAACTTGATGCTGAAGCTGGACCAAGTAATTTTAAAGGTATATCTTCATTTGTAGTTTGTGTGAGTGTCAATTAATATTCATAGCTTTTAGCCTTAAGTGAAATATCGATCACTAAAATAAAGATGTTTATTAATTCATAATTGGTCGGAAATGACAGGACAACACAGGTAAAAATTACGTTGCAAATATTCTCAGCACGAATTTGGTATGCTTATCAAATTTTTCTGTATAAAACTACTGCTATTTTTTTTTTTTTTCAGAACGTCATAACAGTCTTCCGGAAAGCATAACAGGAACCCCAATGTCAGGAAGTCTTACTACCGTCTCGGAGGAAGAACGCCGAATAAATGAAGTTTTACATCATATGTGGCGTTACATTCATACCTATACAATGCGATTCTTAGAAAAGGTTTTCAAAATACTCAAGATTTTGCATGGCACCAAATTTCATTTCAACTGTTTATTTTTTGATTTTTCAGCAAAGTAATGATTTTTATTTCCGACAAATCTAACGAGAATTTGTTGAAATCAACTTCTTTCTGATTTAAAGCATTTCTTTCTAGGAACCGGATGAGTGCGACATGCCCTTGTGGTATATGCCTGATGAGTTTGGTGTTCGAATTGGCCATAGTCATTTGCCTAACTGTAGAATGGTACCTATCTTTCATATGCCGGAAAATATAGCCTACAATTTGTTGTTTCCTATTCAGAATGTGGAAATTGAAGGTATTTATTAGTTTTTGATTGGAGAATCTGTTATTCACTGTGTTTTGTTAAAATCCATCAACAGAAATGAAATATTAAAATTACAGAAGCTGTTACTCGCGACTACGTTGATACAATGATTATGAGAACTCATCCAGAATGGCGTCACATCTTAATGCATCCATGGATTCCTGTAGATTTAACAGGCGAAAGGCTTGAACATATCGTTGCTCCAGATTCGCATTTTACAGTAAAGCTATTTCATACCTTCTGAAAAATGAACAAATATCATCAAATTGAATGTGAAAGAAACTTAACATAATTGTGTTGACATATGCTTTCACAAAAGAATTTTAGTGAATTGGTTTACATCATTCCTAGTATATTTTAGCGTTCTTGTGTTCCTGACATTCTTCCACTGAATGCTCCGGATGTTGTTCCTGGTATTCATTTATCATCAAAGAAAGTACATGTATTTGGCGACGATTTGCAGTTTTTTTCAAATCTAAAAACAGTTGAGATTGTAAAAGTTAATTGCATTGAAGATGCTGACCTCATTTGGATGCGGAAGCATTTCAGTGATTACAAGTAATTTGTTTTCAAAATTCTTCTTAACGATTAAAATGTTTCGTCTAAATTATTAGGTACTAATTCTTATTACACTTTTCAACGGTTGTGAAGGTCAATCCAGATGTATTCGGGAAGTTTTACAGTCGTAGTATTAAATATATCAGTAATCATTGGAATTATCGGAAATTGTGTAATCAGATGATAGTTTGTACTCCGGAAATGAACAAAAATTTGGACTTTCTCGAAATTAATTTTTGAAAAGGAAAACTTTACTTCCAGAAGTCTGTATGAGAAAAATCCGAAAGCTTTGGTAAACCAGTACCCTTACGACAGCGTGTTAACAGTGAAAGATCTGTTGACAGCGGCAATACAATCAGTATATCGTGATAGTGTGATAGATCCAGAACTGATGCACTGGCAGCCTCTGTGGTTCGAAACTACTTTTAATCTTGAGACTGAATTGCCACAGTTTGTGGCGTATTATCAACAACGAGCTCGCAAGTTTGCTTTCCTCTTCCATTTTTTTCTTTTTTTCTTGTGTGCTTTATCTAAGTGGCAGATCTTGACCGATGTTTATCCATAATTTTCTTCCTTTAGAAATTTCCGACTACCCGGATAACAGTTTTTTTTTTGTAACGTCTAAATGAAGATAAGCTGATACCAATTTCAAAGTTCATCGTTAATTTCTTTTACGAATACTAAAGTTTTTTTTTTAAAGAACCAGGCCCAATATTTCGTCCTAAACTCCATCTTAACAGAAGCATGGTTCGAATTTTATAGTAAAATGATTCTCCTAATTTATTCAGGAATATGGATAATACATGGATAGTAAAACCATGGAATCTTGCACGAGGTCTAGATATACATGTGACTGATAATTTATCCTATATTATTCGTCTTATCGAAAGTGGACCTAAGGTAAATAGTAAGTGGAATATATTAATTTTATTGCAAATATTGGTCAGAATTATAACTTAATCAACCGATATGCAAAATAATTTTCTTATTTTTTAGATCGCGTGCAAATATATTCATCGACCTGTCCTCTTTCGAAGACCTGACAACGGTAATATGGTGAAATTTGATTTACGCTATATCATATTTTTGCGTTGTTTACGCCCATTAAAGTTATTTTTGTGCAAAAATTTTTGGGTACGATTTGCAATCAAGTAGGTTTATTTAGAATTAAGTATTTGTTTAAAAATCATTTTCTTTTGCAATTTGATAAGCGTTTCCAGTCATGATGTAGGAGTAAAAACGATTAAACATTCTTATTATTCATTGGTGCGGTACTCTGAAGGCTCTATCAAGGAATTACTACAACTTGGAGAGTCGGTACGAGGAGGCCGAAACAACCGAATATATAATTTGTTAACGGTTTAAACAGAATGGTTGTTTGGCTATCATTCTGAGCCTTCAGTAGTACGTGCTTACTCGTATTGTTCAAAATATGTATCGCAAGAAAATGATGAGCTTTCCTATCTTAAAGTATATACATAATTTTAGTTTCATTACAGTGTTTTTTTCTACTTGGTGAGTTTAAACATTTGAGTTTCAGTGACTTTTCCCTTTCCCAGTTGGATGACCGTGACACTCATTTCACAGTTTTCAATTATTCTGAAGGTGACAATGTTTTAAATGTAAGTTGCTTTCAATTATTCTTCATTCTGAATTTCCATCTTTTTATCGAAAAACAAAACATTAGCTGATTTGACTATGAATAAATTTTTTCCACTATAACTAATTTTCTCTTTTCTTTTTTTAAAATTTATGATAACAATGATAATGCTACATATGGAATTGATTTATATTATTTTCTATGCAAATCCATGTTTTCTATTTCATCTAAGATGCACTGCGAAGATTTTATTGACCAATGGGAGAAATTGTATGCTGTAAAGTGGAGCGAAATACAAGAAAAAATCAATGAAGTTATCAAAGATGTTATTAAAACTGTATCTAAGTATGATTATTTAACAATATTTCTCGACCTTCTGTCAAACAGTAATAAAGCAAGAGGAGATTAAGTAACAAGGATTACTTCTGCTTTTTGGCTTCTAATATTTTAAAGGAATTATTCATAGCAGACTCTTTTTTCAGAGAAAAAGCTCCACGCGGAATTGTCCCAAATGCACAGTCTCGAGCAATGTATGGAATGGATATAATGTTGAAATGGGACTCTGATGGTTTGTTTTCTTCAATAGCATATGAGAATTTTGAGTTTTTTCAATTCGCCTGCCTTGATTTTGAATGTGCTTTTTAATTTAGATTAGATTTCTTTTTTTTTGAACTTAAATAATTTTCAGTTCAGCTCAGTTTTGATAATGTTTCTTGAAAATATCAAAAAACTTGTGTTTTCTTTTTTATTTTTTCTTTTTCTTTTTTATGAGATTCATCATTGTCCAATTTGGTGTTACATCAATAATTTGGTTTTTTATATGGATTTATTGATCGGTTCCGCTAACATGCATTTTATATTTTCAGATTTTGCTACGCGCAAAATTTGTGTCTCGTTTATCGAAGGGAATTTCATGCCCGATTGCGACCGTGCTTGCATGTTTTATGCGGATTTTGCAGAAACAGCTTTTAATGCGCTTTTTACGGATAAAAACATCCCTGATACGTTAATCGAGCTTATTTAGTTTCTTTTATGTTGTGTTTCTGGGTTTCAATTTTCCTAACTCGTTGTACTTCTTCTTTTAAATCCATTATTCATTCTTGAAAGAACTTGATGAACAAGTAGGGTCTTTTCAAATCGCGGGAATTAATCATTTCTTGTGTCGAAGTTTGTAAAATGTTTCACCTTTAAGAGCGGTTCTCTTTCTAATCCTATCTCGAATTCCAGTTAATTCAACAAATGTATGCTTGCTATTTATTATATATAACCATTGACTAATTGTAGTCGCTTCCATCAAACTACCACAAGAAAAAAATTTCTGCTAAATGTACATGGTGTCTGTGGGTCAATTCTTGAGTCTTTATTTTCTCTATTCTCGAAAATTATTTCTATTTATGTAATTAAACGACGTCTGTAAAAATTTTTTTATGAGACATAAATGCATTACTTCATTTATAATTTGTTTGCTAACTTTCGCTGGGTTTATATGAAAAATCTCTTGAAAGTCAGAAACCTTTGGCATGTATTCAATTTAATTTTGAGTGCTAAAAATAAATGAAACAATTGCTAACTTATACGATATATTTTACTTACAAATTTCATTTATCCCGAAATGGCTCCTACTATAACTATTTGCTATGAATGCTGAAAGTGGAAATTCAATGACTTCATACACTAAAATATAAAATTCGCAGACTGTCATTTATTCCAACTATCGATGTCATTGATGACAAATGAATAAATAGTCGCAATAAAATATCAGTGAAATGTCCCACTCCATTTCAATAGATTATGATAGTAATTTAACATCAATACACTACACGATATGTTAAATCAAAGAAATACATATATTACCTGACTAGTGGTTTTTGTAGAAATTTAAAATTTCTTTTATTAAATTGAAATTTTAAAATTTGATGCGACTGGTTTCATCGCACTCTTTGTATGAAAAAGTACTTCCTTAATTGAATTTCTTAGCATCTGTACACACAACTCAAATACACAGACTGTCACTTATGAGAGAGAACTAACAGTTGAAGTTTCGATTTTTCAATTTCGATAAAATCATTTCAGTAAATAAAATCTGTATTATTTATTAACTGAGTCAACAGGTTCTTTTATTGTTTGAACAAACAATAATTTAACTTTAATTTTTTTTAAATTAAATTTTTCATTTTTTTTCATTTTTTTTTCCATTGAAATATTTTTGATTCGTAATTTTACACAAAATATCACACAATTCACAAATTTAAATAACTACTTGTGAAAAAATTAGAAATATAATCGAAAAATAACAGGTTATCAAAATTTAAAGTTACTATAATTTATTTACATTTTTTTTTTTTTAAAAAAATCACATCCAATATTTTACTGAGATGACTTTGAAATCAGGATTTTCCTTCTTTTTTTTTTTTTTTACTCACTTTATAATTATATACTTGTTATCATTAATTACCTATTTTAAAGGAAGGTATCAATGAAATTTAAGTTTTTAAGAACTGAATTGTATAGACTAAAAATTTTTTAAGTTGTTTGGTTTGTTCTCAACTTCCTAATATCTCATTATAATTTCAGAATAACGAAATTTTTCAGATTTATTTAATCTTGTCCTAATTTCATAGAATGGAAAAACGATATTGGAACAACGAACAACAGAATAAAAAGAATTTTTTTTTTTTTTTTTCACAGATAAAATTGTGTTTGTGTATTTTTTTAGTCAAATAAAGAGAATCTTTAGTGAAATATTTTCACTTTACTACTTGTAATTACTTTAATTTTAACTTCTTTTTAGGAAATCATTTCTAAATTATTTTCTAAAGTTTTCGTTTTTGTTTTTTCATTTTTTCATTTTCATTTCACAAATGAAATAATTGATATTATTATCAGTTCATTATTCTGTTGATAAATTTATTCTTTGATTCTTTTTCATCGGTAGTTGTAATCATTTAATCCAACCAAATGAATTGTTAAGTTAATTTCACTAATCAAATATCAAAACATCCTTGTTATCATGTAAAAATTACCGATATACAGAAATATTTTTATATAATTTATTTGCTCGAAATATTTTCTTAGATAATATCAACATTTTATATTGCTTGTTGATAACTGGCAGAGTATTAGATATGAAATTCCTAACATTTCAACTATTATTATTCAAAACTTTATTATATATTCTGTTCTTTCCTCTCTCCTTCCGTTTCTCTCTCCTCTCCTCTCTCTCCTCTCCATTCAAATTTATATTTATATATTTATTTATTTACTTAATTACTTAATTGCATATTTATTTATTTATATATCATGATACAGATAAGACGGAAAATTAATTTAGATCATATATTCAGCATTCCATTTCTTCTTCTCCCTTCCTTCCCCTCTCTCTCCCTCTCTCTCTCCCCCTCTCTATCTCTCTCTCTCTCTCTTTTACTATTCTATTAGGACAAATACGCCATATTTTAATTTAACCAACAAATGAAAAAATGAATGAAATTTCCCTTTATTGTTATGTCTTTTACAAGTATTTTCTTTTAAGAATGTTTTGTTTGCACCATTTATTATTTAAAATAAAATTATTCGCATCTTTAAATTTCGAAAAGAATTTAAAAGATTTAAAGAAAATATTTTAATTTTGTAAAAATGGTGCAAAATAACATTGATATTCTGACCTATTTTGTAAAACTTTGGTTAATTACTAAAAGAAGACATATACAGAAATAGATAGATAGATTGATAGATAGACTGATAGATAGACTTATAGATAGATAGACTGATAGATAGATGGACTGATAGATAGATAGACTGATAGATAGATGGACTGATAGATAGATGGACTGATAGATAGATAGACTGATAGATAGATGGACTGATAGGTATATGGACTGATAGATAGATGGACTGATAGATGGACTGATAGAGAGATAGACTAATAGATAGACGGACTGATAGGTATATGAACTGATAGATAGATAGACTGATAGATAGAGTGATAGATTGTGCATGTATTGTGATCGTTACTGGTTAGTTGGTTGATTTGTTGATTGGTAGTGTTCAGTGTTTTTATACTTTCTTCGAAAGAAGAAGGCAGGTGACTTTAGGTGACTTCTATTCATTTATTCCTTCCTCTCACCTTTCGTTCATTCATTCATTCGATCATTCGATCCTTCATTCATTTATTCATTCGATCATTCCATCCATCCATCCATCCATCCACTCATTCATTCATTCATTCATTCATTCATTCATTCATTCGTTCATCATCCGACATACCTTACATACCCGATCGTCCACTGTGGTTTGTAATGATCGCATTCTTCTATGATCGGTTGTGGTGCTACTACTACTATCATTGTTACTCCTCCAATGCTTTTCTTTCTATTTTAGTGGACAATAATAAATCGACGATCGTACGTTCTACACTCCAATGAATATGAGCTTTATGCTCAAAATTTGTTAATTTTTCTTTTCTTTTTCTTTTTTTTTTCTGCTGAAATTCATTAAGCAAATATTTTTCTAATTATTACAATCGGTGCTGTGCTATCATATCATCAATATATCATGGCCAATCATGGGCCAAGTTATGGCCTTAGCCGAGAATTGGAAAGGAAAGTTAGTTTCTTTTTTTTTTTTTTTATGATATGATATAAATATTCAAAAAAACAAAGAAAATTATTTCTTAGGATGTAAAAATATTTTATGAATACGATCGAAAAATATTCCAGAATTTTTCCGCTAAATTTTTAAATATTTTAAAAATTTGTATAGAATTTAGTTGTGATATATTTTATGAGTGATGAAATGTCGTACGTATACAATTCAATACTTTATCTTAAAAAACCTTTCAAATGCCATATCAAAGTTATAAAATTCAAAATTAACTTGACTTATAAGTATTACTAAAATTCCTAATGTTACTATTATTTTGTTTTTAATTGTGTAATTTTAACATATTTAATCCATGTTCACTATTATATATTAGCTGTTATGTATTATCTTAGTGTTATATCTATTACGTACGTCATTTTCGTCATTTCATTAATGTAAAATAATTAGATCAGAAATCGATCACTAATGTTAACATTGATAAGCTATCCGATCGTACGATTCTATTTATTACAATTATTCATGAATTATTCTAAATTTATCGATGTAATTTTTTAATTTATTTACGTTTAAATTTTCTCAAATGATGTGATCAGTGTTTATCCAGCTGATTGAGTTGAAAAATAAAATTTTTTTCGTTTGAAAAAATAAAATAAAATTTTAGATTTTAGAAAATAAAATTTTAGATTTTAGAAAAAAAAAAAAAAATTATGTGAACTCTGAGGAGGTGAAAAAATTTGACAGTAGTAGTAAATTTGATGTTTAATAATATTATAACATTTTGCATCTTTTCTCTTTAGTCTTTCAAATTCCTTTTTCATTTATAAAAGATTTTTTTTTTTTTTTTTTTTTGTGATATATGCAAATATTTCAATATCTTTTAACACTTACTCACATAATCCATTATTTAGTGATAAGTTTATAAACTTTATAAACTAAAATTGAACCCATATGTTTACTGTAAATTATTATTTATTTTCATTAATCTGTAGATAATTATCAATTAACTTAATGTTTCAAGCAATTAAATTTCCAAAAAAAAAAAACGAAAAAAATCAAATTATCATGGAAATTACCAAATAATTTAATGTTCATAATATAAATTTCCAGGCAAAAGAAAGAGAAAAAAAAAAAAACAACTTGAATATGGTAATTCAATCGTTAGAAGCCTAAAATTAACCTGGAATAACTAAAAAAAAAAACTTTTTCCATCTAAGCAATATACTATGGTTAATAAAAAGAATATAAACAACATTACGAAAATAATTACAATTGATTTGGCAGGTTAAGAATAGGTGACCCTTTTGTAGTAGGTTTGCGCCGCTCATCTTAAATCTTCCGTCAAGGTTAATTTTACCACTTCTTCAGCCGTTTCATCCTCATTTCTCAACTATGTTGCTCATTTTACTGTCACATTTTCAACAA